CCCCCTGCCGGGCCCCTGCTCCGGCACGGGCTGCCACAGGGTCAGAGCCTCCTTCGGGCATCTCCCTGCTCCAGCGTGGGGCGCAGGCGTGACTCCTCTCCCCACCACAGCCCGCGTACAGCATCCGCACACCTCCACACCCCCCCCCAACACAGGCCTTTGGGACTGGTTAGGGCTGAGGGTAGCAAGAGAAGGGACAAGCAGAAGCCGGTCGGCAGAACCCCTGGAGTTCTGTGACAGCAGGCACCCGCCCTTCCCTTGGCTGTCTCTCAGGAGAGCACAAGGCACCCCAGGTAAGGCCAGGCACAGCTCAGGACATCATCTGCCACCCAGACTTTAGGTCTCGGCATTTAGAAGGGGCAGGACTTTCAACACCAGCCTCCAATAACCCCTCCCAGCTTTCACCACCCAGACCTGGATTTCCTCATGCCCGGTATTCAACAGCCAGAGGTCAGCAACTAGATGAATTCAGCCATGAAAATTCAGCATTCAGCATCTGAAAGCGTCACTGCTCTGCCACCGAAACTCCAGTTGAAACCTCAAAATTCTCTTGGACACAAGACGAGGAGCGAGGTCTCCTGCTGGAGGCCAGTCTGCGGGCAGCACTCAGGCTGCGCTGCTACAGCCGCTGCAAGGGCAAAGTGGCTCCGCACTCAACCTGCTGCGGGTGACCTTGAGAGCGTTGTGTAACTCCAAGGCTTTTAAGTGCCATCAGCCAGCTGCATCCCAATCACAGCACAGCCAGGTCACATTTCTTAGCAGCAAGGTCAGAACAGCTCTTCAGGAAGAGGCTGTCCATGGAAGAATAATTTGTTACTGAAAATACTGTAGGAGACATCTCCGATGACCTCTCCAGCCCTTCCTCCACCAGGAGTGCCGCCAATCCTGCCTCAGCTCAGCCCGGGATCAGCTCTGGCCGGGTCACGCAGGCAGAGTCATCGCTAGGCTGCGCCTCCTCTTTGCGGGAGATGCACAAACGTGCCTTGTCCTTCACGTGGCTGACACAGTTAACATTTTGGTAGCTTAATTAAATAAAGAGCATGCACAAGTGACAGGTCCAAACAGACTTCTTTATTTCTCTGTAATAAGTACAGCACTATCTGTATTCCGAAGTCCCACAGGTCTAACCATTCCTTTCCTTCCCTGCTATCCAGAAGTGAATTACCATAAGAAGGCTCCCGTCCGGTCAGTCTGTTCCCTCCAGCTCATGCCCTGCCCATCCCTCTGCTCCCTGCGAGCAAGCAGGACTCTACACCAGGCTCCTCTTCCCTACAAGGGAGCAGATTCTTCACAGGAGAGAAGAAACACCTACAGGGAAGAGAGAAGTTCAGCATTAGGTGCACATTCCGGGAGCTAGAATTAGTGGAAGCCCTGCCCTAAGGTGCCCAGATCAAGACACAGCTACTGACGTCTGCTTTTAATCAGTGCAGCAGGATTAGGGAATCAACTAAAGAAAGCAGCAGGCTTCCCACAGCTGCAAGAAGTGAACCTGTAAGAGAATACCTCCAGTCTTGGTCAGGATCATCCTCCTGCCCGTTCAAGTTCCTTTCCGCATTCCAGGACACAGGAAAAGCAAAACTGCTTCCTACGTTTCCTGCCCTGAAGGGCACTATAACCCCAACAGATTGCTTCCCCAACCTTTCAACC